TCAATACGATTGGTGTAAAAAGTCGCTTCAATGGCAAAGATTGTCTTCTTGATGGCCGATTATGGCCATGATCCTACAGGTAGGCAGACTGAGATTGTACCGTCGCGTCAGTGCTGGTGAGAGACTCATCATCCGTCTAGAAACCTGTGGACCTTACACAGCTTTCAAGGAGGCGGGCTTCAATGTCAGTTTCGCGACTGAGGCAGGTAAATCACCTCAATGCGACACCAAGATGTTGGAAGGCCTCACACAGCGCCTTTTGGTGAGTCCATTGCGAAAGCGCGTCAACAGGGATGGAATCTAACCGGAATCACAGGGGGCATCATCCTCCATCGTGAAAAAGTATCGCGTCATGGCTGAATCAGAGGAATGGAAGAATCCCTTGTCATGGTCCGATGAGCAATTCACTCTGGACGCGTTTGATCTCGTGTTTCTGCCCGGAGGACACGACAAGGCCGTGAGGCAAGTCATTGACTCGGAGAGAGTTCACCAGCTGCTAGTCGACTTCTTCCCCAAGACGAAGAAGCCCGGGAAGAAGGCCGTCGGAGCGGTTTGTCATGGCGTCATGGTGCTTTCAGAATCCAAGAATCCGGATGGAAGCAGTGTCATTCGCGACTGTGATACGACAGCGCTGCCGGCGCGATTCGAGCAGCTAGCTTTCTGGGGCACTCGCCTCTTCTTGGGAGACTATTACAAGACGTACGGAGCGGGGAGTGAAAACGTCGAAGACTCGGTGAGATTCTTTGCAAAAACTTCCATCTTGTTTCAAAAACATGAGGCGAAAAATGAAATGCTGACGCTAGAGCGACAATACGATTTAGGTGCGAAAAGTGCTGGCGAGTCCTAAACAATTCAAGAATAGCATTGTGCCATCACCGTGAGTTTCGCCGAGGGTCAATTGTTGTGTTATAATACGAGTAACAGTTCCGGCTAATATGGTTTCTTTCTTACAGCTTCGTCGTTGAGGATGACAACTACAACTACGTCACGGCGAGATTCCCCGGCGACGTAGAACTTTTGTCGCAGAAGCTAGTCCAATTAGTGCAAGGCCTTTGATCCAGGGCAAGGACGGAAATAATATTCCTTCTTTTGCCGGTAGTGGTAGTGGTGCCAAGTTTTGAGATCGGGGGAGGGCGGCGGAGAAAAAAAATTGGGATGTCATGCAAAGTGAGATTTTGAAGTATCCACACCACAACCAAGAGATTTGTAAGGGCATGGAGTGGTTTCGATTTCCGATTTGTTTATTTGTCTAGACCCTTGAGAGTTGAGTCTTTCGGGGACCAATTGGCCGACTTTCGTTGAACTCGGTATTCAGTACTATTCATTCATTAACAATCATGTGTAATCATGATACATACCACATCAGTTTCAAAAGCTTTGTGTATTTGTGTATATAGAATTGAAAGAAAGCGAGTTCAACACAAAAGGGAGCAACTACATAATATTACATCGTATTCGATCTGCATCAAGACCGATGTGGTTCTCGTTTCCCATCTGTGGCGGTGTTGCATTCGGATAACCTTAACGAAATACCGCCTCGAACGTTGCTACACGAGATGCTACAAAGCAAAGATCAGCTTCCCGATGCTACCGTGCCATGCAACTTGCTTCTATACGTGGGGTCTCCAACAATTGGGGTGCATTGTTTGCTTACCGCTGGCAAGGCGGAGCCCTCAATTTGCGGGCAATAATCCGGGAGCCGCAGGTTCTAGAGCTGCGAAATGTGAGGCGCAACTTATGCCGTCGGCCGAAAGCATCCCATCAAAAACAACATCAGGTTCACCCCTTGCGATCACGGCGAAAAGTATCCGCGTTGCGTGGGGAAGCGTCAGGGGATAATGCGGTTGTTCCCCTGCATCGTCCATTGCTAGCTTGAGCTTCCCCCGCACGCCAGCAGGAAAAGGGCCGAGATGTCAGTTTTTCCTTTGAGAAGGGCTTGGTTGGTAGTTGGCCTAGCCTTGTCGGCACAAACGATGAGATGAGATCCCCCCGGACTTCGAGCGACAGGGGAGTGGCAGGTCGAGGCGAACATGCCGAATGGGTCGACCATGACATGCTTGTTTTGCTGGCCTTCTCCGCAAACAAGTGGCCCGCAGGCATGGATTGGAGGAGCTTTTGCAGACGTTGGGACCTTGTGATGGTCTGCAAATGTTGCCAGACGTGGAATGTCCGTCCGGCCGTGTGCCGATTCTGCCAGCAGGGGCTTCTGGGGTAAAGGACGAATGATGAGATGATCATGCAAAACTATAAAAGGCCGTGAGATGCCCTTTCGGTGGTTACAGAGGAGAGAACCGGCTCTTCCAGCAATCCAATTGAGACATTGGGACCTGTTGACCCTCTGGAAAGATGCGATTCACGCAATTCTTCCTCGGCTTGGCTGCCGTTGCAGCTGGTAGTACTATACCAGCTGAAGGCGTCGAGGCTAGACACTCCTCGGGCTACTGGTACGAGAAGATCCAGCACAACGGCATCAGCCCTTTCATCACCAATGGCAAGAACTGGAAAGTCTTCCGCAACGTCAAGACGGACTTTGGCGCCAAGGGAGACGGTGTCACTGACGACTGGGCTGCCATCCAAGCTGCCTTTGACTATGCCAATGGCACAGCCAGTCGCAGCTCGGGTGCTTGGGGTACGACCGGTGCTCCGGCTGTTGTTTACATCCCAGCTGGCACGTACCGTCTGAGCAAGCCCCTTCAGTCGTACGTTGACACCGTTGTTATGGGTGATCCCACCAACAGACCGGTGCTTCAAGCCTCTCCCGACTTTACCGATCCCTTCCTCTACCTGGGCTATGACCCCGGCTATGACTCGACCATCAACTTCTACATTGGACTGAAGAACGTTGTCTTGGACTCTACCAAGGTGCCCCTTGCTCACAACATTACCCTTCTCAACTGGGCCGTGAGCCAAGCTGTGCAGCTTACCAATGTCTTGTTCAACATGCCCAATGGAGGTGTAGCACACACCGGATTGTCCATGCCTCAGGGCGGCTCGCCTCTGATGATCAACGACGTTGTATTCTCGGGTGGATCTGTTGGCATTCGCATGAACGAGCAGCAGTATCACTTTAAGGGAATCACCTTCAAGAGTGAGCCACCTACCTTGTTCTTCGCATCAACTACATGGACTATACTAACAAATCGACTTGTGTAGACCAGGACATTGGCTTGAAGCTTGACAAGCTCTTTGAGGGAACTGGCCAGAACCTGCACTTTGAGTCATGCAAGGTTGGCGTTGAGACGACAAACAACAACACCGGATTCTTTGCTCTCATCGACTCGACAGCCAAGAATGTCGGCATTCTGTGGAACGCTGCAGCTTCCCCAACTGCCCAAGGATCAATGGTGCTGGAGAACGTCCAAGTGGACAAGACTGTCGGCTCTGTAAGTCCATCTTCATATACCATACAGTTTCAACGAAAGAGAGACTAACGCCTTCTATTAGACCGTCACCGCTGGAGGAGTCAATGTTCTCAAGGGCTCTGTCAAGGCCGGCCAGTCTTGGATCTGGGGCAACGTCTACGGACCCTCGAACGGCCAGCGTGCCCAAGGCAAATTCTTCCCTGCATCTCGCCCTCTGGCACTTCTGGACATCACTGGATCCTACCACACCGTTACTCCTCCGACATTCCAGGAGTATTCCGTGGACCAGGTGATTAATGTCAAGTCTGTTCACGGGCTCCCAGTTGCCGGTGATGGTGTTACAGACGAGTAAGTGCTGGCCAAAGCTGTTCAACTGGTTCACTTAGACTGACGCAGTTAATTAGTACCAAGAACCTTCAGAAGATTATTAACCAGGCCGCTGGCAAGAAAGTTATCTACTTCCCTCATGGAACGTACCTTGTCAGTGACACCATTGTGGTCCCTCCTGGAAGCCGGTAAGTAGAAGTCCTCTGGATGAGATTGAGTCAATATTGGCCATAAAGTAAAAGAAAAGAGACTAATAAAACTCTAGATTCCACGGAGAGGTTTGGTCTGAGATTAGCGCCACTGGCAACAAGTTCAAGAATGCCAACAAGCCGGTTCCCATGGTCCAGGTCGGAAAGCCTGGCCAGCTCGGCGTTGCCCAATTCGTCGACATGCTCTTCACCGTTGCAGACATTCTTCCCGGCTGTGAGCTCGTCGAGGTGAACATGGCGGGCTTGAAGGCTGGAGACGTCGGCTTCTTCAACACTCACTTCCGTATTGGAGGAGCTCGAGGATCCAAGGTTCAGACTAACTGCGACGATCCCGCAACCTGCAAGGCGGCGCGCGTCTGTGCTCATCTCACGACTCTGTCGTCTTCATACTGGGAGAACAGCTGGTGCTGGAGTGCCGATCACGATCTCGACGATGACAACGGTGCTAACCCCTCGACCGCTGGTGGTTTCCTTGTTGAATCTATCAGGGGAACCTGGATGCTGGGTATTGGCAGTGAGCACAACTCGCTGTACCAGATCAACGTCTACAAGGCGCAGAACGTCTTCTTGGGCTTCCAACAGAGCGAGACGCCGTACTGGCAAGGAAACAACTCTGGTCTTCTGACGCCTCTGCCATGGACCGGCTCCCTGCTGGACAGCGACCCAGACTTTAGCTGGTGCGCTCCCGACGATGCTCAGTGCCGCATGGCTATTTTCCAGTACATCCACGACTCAAGCAACGTCAACGTTTACGGAGGTGGATACTGGGTCTTCTTCAACGGCATTAACCGTGACGGCTGCTCTGCCGAGTGCCAGCAGAACGCCGTCATCTACGCCGACAACCAGAAGCTGTACAGCTATGGTGTTAGCACACACAATGTGCGAACTATGGTGCTTGAGTCTGAGAGGGGCAAGGACGTGGCAGAGGTTGTTGATACAGCGAATGCGGGTGGCTGGCAGAGCCATGGTGGTGTCATGGCTGCTTATCTGGGACAGAGCGGCTATTAAATAATGCCATCGGTTGTAGATAATGCCTTGAAATGGTAAATGAATGAAGAAATGAATATTTATGATTTATATGCTATCTTTGCTTGTGCCTATTCTAGTTGCGAACATGCCCTTGTTTCTCAGTAAGCCACTGAAGACCTTCTAAGAGATCCTGATACCATTTCTTACTCATGGCAAGGTCTGGGAATATCCAAAAGACATGAGGATATCCTGCATATGCATTCAATTTTGTCGGAACACTAAACACGTCTCAGTTAGCAATGCCTTTCTGCGTAAACTCGACAAGGGCGTCGTTGTGCCTTACCCAAGACGATCAAGCTTCTGTTGATAGATCAAGCCTTGGTCTCGCAGGGCGTCATCACCACAGACCATGACGAGCGTAGGAGGCAAATCCTTGATGCTGCTCTTTTCATCAAATAGAAGCGGGTTCAAGAGCAAGCTATCACGATACTCCTCTGGCTCCCCCATCAGAGCACGATATTGCTCGATTTGGGGGTACGAGAGAAAATCAGCATCGCGGCATTGGATATGTGAAGTTTTGTCGCCGACTTTGGGGTCAAAGGGAAAGTTTTCAGTGAGGACGAGCCAAGGAGCGGCTAGAAATTGGCCTTTGATGTATGATTCTCCCAGCTGTGAGATGATGTTAACTATGTGTGGTACATGTAGTTTGCGACAAGACGAAAGTATTGACACGACTTACCTCTCTTTCTCTATGAACAACGCTTGCCGCAAGAAACCCCCCCGGCGCTGGTACCAGCCACGTACAGATCAAAATCTTGTGGTAATCCCAAATCCGCCGCATTGTTTATCACCCAAGTGCGAGCATCCCAGGCATCGTTAAACTGCGTGGGAGCCTTCCACTCGGGAATCACACGATAGCCGACGCTGATTACTGTAAACCCGGTGTCCCGGGCCAAAGAGATGCAAAAAGGATCTTCAGTTGAGATGGAGCCTGTCAAGAATCCACCGCCATGGTAGTAGATTAAGACGGAGGGGTGTCCCTTTTGGGTGGCAGAGCGAAAGACTCGAATTGGGATTTCGAGGCTGTCTGAGGTCGGTATAGTCCGTGTTTCCCATGTGACTTGATGCTTGCCGAGAGCCTTCATCGCTGCATCTCTGGCTGCATATCGTTGAGGATTGTGGGCACGACGAAATTCGGTTGATATAACGTCCCCCTTGGGCAGAGGGTTCTTGGCTATGTATGAAGCCCATTCTTCTGAAGGACCGGCAAGATGGCTAAAGTCTGTCATGATGAATGTTGGAAGATAGGGATGTTCTCTTGAATATCCTTTTCCTTCTTGTGCTTTAAAAAGGCTGTATGTGTAATAATAATTCACTGATGTTTATTCGCATCGCTATTCGGGAACTACCTCCTATATATAAAGAAAGAACATACGCATTTGCCTATACCTACTCGTAAACGACATGATGCTTGACATATCCTCAGAGTGGGATTGCCGAGATCAGTAATAAGCGCTTACCGTAGCCCTGCCGTAGCAAGATCCCGCTAGTTGTAGTTAGTTGAGGATAGGCTTCGACTGGTGTCTCAACAAGCAGTTTACCAACGACATCTTGCACTGATTCTGCAATAGATAAGACAACTCTTGGCTTGTGCTAAGCCTAATTCTCCCGCGCGGACACCGAAAATTCCAGTGCGGATCGCGACTTTAGCGCGAGACTATGCCGGCCCATAACCATAAACTCCGATACCAAGCGAGCCTGGTGAGCTTTCGGTTCTTCAGAGACATTGTGACGATGATTAAAGCCGCTGAGCAATACGCATGCCTGTATTGAGCATGGTAAAGAGCCTCTTTTAGTTGCATTGTACTACACATCCTTTGGAATCTTTTTTACATGCACTCTCATCATCATTATTCAGCACGCCGACAACTACACATAAGCAATCCTTTTTTAATTCCGCAACCTAGCAACACTGGTCCAGTCACTTTCAATGGCCGACAACCCCGCAGACAAGCAAGTTGTGCTCGTTACAGGCGGCAACCAGGGCATCGGCTATGAAATTGTGAAGAAGCTTGTGGCGGAGCAACCCACCTATCATGTCCTTCTTGGCTGTCGAGCTCTCTCAAAAGGAGTAGAAGCTATATCAAAAATTGAGAAACTTGCAGGCTCAGTTTCTCCAGTTGAAGTTGACATTACTTCAAACGACTCAATTGCGGCTTGTGTTGCGCAAATCGATCGCGAGTATGGCAGACTTGACGTTCTAATCAACAATGCTGGCATTGGAAGACATGCAGTAGAGGGCTTACCCAGCCTCAGGGATAAGATGGCTGCACTGTTCGATGTGAATGTGTTTGGCACCCTGGAGATGACAGACGCAGCTATTCCTCTGTTACAAAAGGCTGCCGATCAAGGCTCAGTCCCACGGATTGTGTTTATTACCTCGGAGATGGGCTCCTTTGGGAATACGCTCAACCCTTCGTGGAAATATTACCAGCACAACACGTCTATACCGTACAAGTCCAGCAAAGCGGCTGCAAACATGATTGGTGCATGCTACTCGACGTTATTTGAGAAGAAAGGGTGGAAGATCAACTGCTGCTGTCCTGGGCTTCGCAAAACAGCATTCAACAATCACCTCTCTGTTGCCATGGACGTGGAAGAGGGAGCTGTGAGGGCTGTAGCGTTGGCCACTCTCGACAAAGATGGTCCTACAGGGACTTTTACAAACATTGATGGAACTGAGCCGTGGTAATGGAGCAACATGTCATTGAGAGTCATCTATTCATACTAGCTAGCCTTAGAATCTGCATCTTACAGTATATCATTTCATTCTGATCCGTGCTGCCAATTCGTTATATCAATTCATTCCAATCCACCAATTAGCAATCTCGTTCCAAGCACACAGTGCCCATTCGCTCCAAAGCGCACAAAATAAACCGCCATATTAAAAACGTATTGCTTCAAACGTCCCAGTCCGAAGCGCGGAAAATATACATGACAAAATCGAAGAAGAAGGAAAATAAATCAGCGAGCAATGCCTTTAGTTCCAAGCAGCCTAAATTGTGTTTGGCGGAAGCCTCAGCCAGTCAAACGTGTCTAATAGCCCGAAATTAAAGTCGTTCATATCTTCTGGTAAACTCGTATCCCATGTCATGTCAAACTCCTGCTGAGTTACGGGCCTTGGAATCGTAGGATTCAGACCTTGCTCCATCACTCGCTCGACGACCGTCTTGATGCTGTTACACAAATGAGCACCGGGGGCTCCAGGTCCGATCCATTCGAGGAAGCCGATGAGTAAACTGAGTTGCTTTATTATCATGGGTTTTGTGATTTTAGGGACGGTTGGTGGTTCAGTGGCGGAAGGCTGTTTCAAGAGTTCCATACACAGGATACCTGCTGCAGGTGCGGCGTGTAGCATGACCAGCCACTCGTAGTCGCCTTGCAGGCCTTCGAGACGATTCTGCTGTGTCCAGAAGGAGAGGGTAAGAGATATCATCTCGAGGCTAATTTCAAGCATTTGAGGGCTGTATAAGCTATCCCCTCTATACGAGAGTCGCTCGATGAAGAACAGGTTGCTTAGATGCTCAAGTCGCGTCAACAGTCTGATGTAAAGGGTGGGAGCATCGACGGAGGGATTGCTAAAGTCATCGTTGTTAAATTGCAGTCCAGTTGGAAATCGAGCGAAAACATCCATTTCTCGTTTCCGCAAAGAACTTTTGGTGTGTCAGTGGAGAGTTTCTTAAACTAAGTGTAATGGCATCAACTTACTCAAAGTCATGCTGGGTACGAACATGAGGTGCCTGAAGCACAATCTCGAGGATTTCACTCCTTATACCAGCAATAATATAGGCCGCTCGCAGAAACGTAACCGGATGATTCTTTCCTTCTATGTTCCATCCATCCTTGTCCAGCCGGTGAGGCCGAACTTTGAGGTTGAGCAAAGATTCGTCACTCACATCGAGCGGCAACGGCGTCGAGCAAAGCTTGCTACTGACTAACGGAGGCCGGCCAGTCAAAGTAGAAACCACCATATCGATGTTGAAGACGGAACAGAAGAGTCTTCGCTTAACCTGAACAGATACTGACTCCTCTGGTACCGAGTTGTTCGGTTGAGCTGTGTGGAGGCCAAGAAAGGTGGCCAAGGCGACGGCCTCTGCATGCTGCCGCCAAAATCCCGCACCTGGGCAGGACTCGTTAGGCATGAGAAGACAGGGGATAGCCTGAGCACTGCTGGGACGAACGAGATGCGAGGACACTTACCTGTATCACCAGTGATGAGTGACTCGGTGAGACCATGCATGTGCAAGAGATACACCATCATCGTGTTGTTGCAGCTCGTCAGGCGGCAAAGGTCAACGCTTCTTGAGGCACCATTCCTGTAAACTTGCATGAGGTTCTTACGATTGTGATGTCCAAGCCACTTGCGCTGCTCAACAGTGCCGTTCTCTATGAGGGAGGCAGATCCAAAGCACCAAAACGTGAACAAGATGCCCAGCCCTTCCCACCGGAAATTGGCGCCAGAAAAGGCCTCAAACCACTGGTCTGGATCCGGGAAGTCTTCTTTAAGGGGCTTGGAGCTGTTCTGGAAAAGCAGCAGTGCAAGCTGCGACATTGCTTCATTACTTCTTTCGCCGTCGAGGAAGTGGCCCAGTGCTGTCCACAGAGATGTATGAAGACGATCCAAAGCAAGGCGACACCAGGCATCGTTGGGATTCACATTCCGCCTGAGAAGAAACTGTGCCGCTTCTTTAGTTGGGATGGTCCGGAGCACCGTAAAGGCGAGTTCGAAGGCGGCTGCGTCCGGAGCCATCTTGGTCGACGCCACGTTGTTTTCGTTCTTACCAGTTAGGCCATCATGGTTTGGATTAGGACCAGCTACATAATCGAGGTGTTTCTGAGTCTCGCGAAAGAATTCCGGGAAGCTCGATGCGCCAAGATACCCGACATTTTCATCCGGAGGCGAGGAGAGATCTTCCAGTGTCGACGGGCTTAATGTAGTTGGGTTTGGTCCCGTCGGCTCTCGAGGTTGCCGCTCATCGAGCATCTCTGCCGATTGGCTTCTACTACCACCTGAGGGTAAAGCCGGCGTTACGAGCTGCCCCTGGATAAGATATCGACAGCTCTGGGGCGTGCTCTTGCGGATACACCGCGAGCAAATGGGAAGCCGGTGGTCACACGCGACCTTGCGCCGGCGACAGGGCTCGCAGGCCTGTGGACGGCCATTGCGTCTCCGGGGTATTTCAGAGGGTATAGCGAAGTTGGGAGATGCACTGTTCATTGTGAATAGTGATATATGGGTCCGCCACAGCCGCTGTTGCAGCTGTATCACCTCTTGAATATGTGAAGACGGAGAGCCGAATGCCTAACGATGCGAGGAGTGTGCTGAAAGTTTTGCGGCTCTCGGCCTCGGCGTTCGGCTTGGATTCGGCGTTCGGCTCCATGGTTGTCATTTTGTCTTTCAGCTTGACCAGGGCGTGGCTGAAGTTTGGTGGCTCATGCCTGGAGGATTTTTGGAAGAGACCTGAGAGTCGTGAGATCGAGAACGAGATTATAGATGGCAAAATTGGCGATGATGACCGTGATTGATGATATATGTACTCTGAATCGATGGCTGTATCTCTGAAGCTTCGATCCAATATTAATGGGTGGATATGATATTCTCACGCCCTTCACTCCCTTCGCTAGTGGGAGCACTGACACATCGTTACTACCCACACCCTTGCTTGATGAACTGTAACCGAATGTTAAGATGTACGGGGTTGGACTGACATCAAAGAGCAAACAATTTCTATTCGCTGGGATACCTTGTCCAGCAAAGATAGAGCATGGGCGTGGCTGTGGGAGCAAGCGTACATAGCTATTGTCAGATGCCTCATCATGCTTACAAGCAGAGGCTGGCTAATACAATTTACATATATGTTTCACGTACCCTCGAGAATGTGTCTGTTTAGATGAAAGGATACATAGATATCAGCTTGGAATTCTAGTAGTGTAACAACGATTCCGATTAGTTGTATTCCATCCCCACGTTCTTTTTAAAATCACGTAAGTGGATATCTGCAGCCATGTCCGGCCCATCGCGCCGTCCCGTGCTCCGGAGTCCGGGGCGCATAATGAGACCCGGAGCGCCGATACGGACGACATTGAGCCTTCTATTACCTCTTCCGAATATGACAGGGAGACGAAAAGATTCATTGAGGGCAAATGACGTATCGATGGTTCTCTTCAAGATATAGGTATTAATACCAAATTCTCTCCATATTCTACTCTACCATTTGACTATATTCACTTGTCTTTGTTACCAATATTCAGAATTTATTCCGGTACACTCTTTTATCAACTTCATTTACAACAATCACAATGGCTCATTCGGCACAACCATCTGACAAGGTTCTGGGCATGCCGCCCTTCATGGCCGATTTCCTCATGGGAGGTGTCTCTGCCGCCGTCTCCAAGACCGCTGCCGCTCCCATCGAGCGAGTCAAGCTCCTCATCCAGAACCAAGATGAGATGATCAAAGCCGGCCGCCTGGACCGCAGATATAATGGCATAGGCGAATGCTTCAAGCGCACGATAGCTGACGAGGGCTTTATTAGCCTATGGCGCGGCAACACGGCGAATGTGATTCGATATTTCCCCACACAGGCTCTCAACTTTGCCTTTCGCGACAAGTTCAAGAAGATGTTTGGCTATAAGAAAGATCGTGACGGTTATGCCATGTGGATGGTGGGAAATTTGGCTTCCGGAGGCGCTGCCGGAGCGACTGGCCAGCTTTTTGTCTATTCTCTCGACTATACGCGGACTCGGTTGGCGAATGACGCAAAGAAAGGCGGACCGCGCCAGTTTAATGGATTCATCGACGTATACCGAAAAACATTAGCATCAGACGGCATCGTCGGCCTTTACCGCGGCTTCTTTCCCTCGGTGTTTGGCGCCGTCGTTTACCGAGGTCTTTACTTTGGCATGTACGACTCCTTCAAGCCGCTTGTTCTCATTGGGGCTCTTGAGAACAACTTTCTGGCTTCGTTTTGTCTGGGATACTTTGTCACCACAGTGGCAGGCATCGCTGCTTATCCGTTAGACACTATCCGCCGGCGCATGATGATGACTTCGGGAGAGGCAGTCAAGTATAAAAGCTCGTTTGATGCGGCAAGGCAAATTATTGCGAAGAATGGGGTGCGAGCTCTCTTTAATGGCGCTGGAGCAAACATTCTTCGAGGTGTTGCTGGAGCTGGCGCCTTGTCAATCTATGATCAGCTTCAGGTTGTTCTATTTGGCAAGACGTTCAAGGGTGAATGAGGAGCTAGTGATGTTTTGTTTATTTGTTCACCGGATCACCTTTTTTTTCTTCGTGAAATTAGCTTATGGGCGCTTCATATGGCTATTCTAGATAAATAAAAATGAATATTGAGATTAAGTAGATATAGTAGAAGATAAATATTAAGCCCAGAAGCGCCTTTGTTTTTGTATTTCATCTACCTGGCGCGTGTTGAGCCGCGCTCATATTAACCCGTCACGGGAAGCAAAAGTACGTTTAGTACTAGGCCTCGAATATTTTATGTATGTAACATGGCAAAACGCATTTTAAAAGACCTTAGAACCGGATCCCATTCCCCAAAGAAATCGTAGATGCACTTCAATCAGTCCCCGGGCTGGGAAGCTCAGTTGACTGAATTCCCCAGCTATCAAACTTGGTCAGGTTGCGGCGACTAGTATCCCGACTCAGAATTCCCGGGAATATCATCGGATCAT